CTTATCCTCTGGAGGCAGAGTCTTCCCTAGATTTCTGGCAGAAGAGGTCAGGACTCACTCTCTGGAGAGAGAGGCTGGAACTCAGTATCTGAAGCAAAAAGTAGGAGTTAGGCTCTGCAGGGGGAGTCAGGGAAGGAAGAGTTGGCAGCTTAGGTTGGGAGTTGGTATCTGCTGGAGGAAGACAGGATTTAGTGCCTGGTGTGAGGAGTCTGGTGCCTGGTCTGAGGACCTTGGACTCAGAGGGTCTGATGGGTGCAGGTCAATGTCCAGAACTGTAAAGGGCCTGAGATTTTATTCTACTTGCAAGCTAACAAGCTATCCTGTTTCATGGATGCAAGTAGAAGGTATGAGACTCCTGGGTCAGAGATAAAGAACTTTACTATTCATAGCAACAGCAGTAGCCAGAATGTCAGATGTTTGAGCTGATTCTCCAAGGGGCTAATACAGGTGGGCCTAGATGCATGCCTGCATACATAGTGAGTTGTGGTATAGGAGGGGAACTCTGAGTGTGTAAGGTTGATTGTTCCTATACTGAGTATTAACAAGCCTGTTTTTTGTCTGCTAGGAAAGTATTTATATCAAGGGAGCTTGCTACAAACACAGTTCTGAGAAATGGCCTGTGTAAGTCATGGTCATGGCCTTGCATTCTTGGCATGCCCACCAAGAAATGTGCAGGAATCCTCAGGGAAGATGGCGGATTGGTCTTGGTAAATCAGGTTGGCCAGGTATCTCGATTCACTGCCAAGCATATGTGCTTTTTACAATGTTGGTTAACTAGATGGCCATTTGAGCAATTGGCCAGAAAAGACTCAGATAGGGCAGGGGTTTAATGTTTGTCGTGGGCGAGGTTTCCATCACCAGGGACAGGGGCTAGTCTGGGTCCCACAAGGCTGAGTTTCCAGGTTCAGAGATCCTGCACAGAGGAGAGCCATTCTGGAGGCTGAGGATCACCTGCAATTCTAGGAGATTCCTTCCTCAAAGTCCTCAGAACACTCCTCCTTGGCCCCTGGAGCACCTCAGCAATTCTACCACTCTCTGACTTCCTTTGAATGAGAAATGGGCTGGAAGTGACTGAGTTAGGAGGCTAGCCCGGTGGGGAAGAAGGTCCCCAGTTTTGTGCTTCAGATCATCTTTGGTCTCCTGATGGCCTACAAAAAGCCCTGCTACACACTCCTTGGAGCCCTGGGAATAACCCCACAGCAGCCTTATCACTCTCTGAACTCCCTTGGTTGAGAAATGAGGATGGGAGAGGACCAAGCAGAGATCAGACAACTAGTGGACTGCAGTGAGGGTTGCAGAGGAAGCTGTCCAGGACTTCAGATCCACCATGCTCCCTGGAGATCCTCAACGAAAAGGCCTTTGCTGGTTGGGTTTAAGCCCAGGTGTTCATAAACAACTTTATGGAGTTGCTTTTCCCAGCTCTTGACCTGCATGTACATGAATTGGATCCTGATTAACAACATATCAAAGACTCAGAGACCTGAACCAATGCTTGACCTCTTCCCAGGTCCCAGACTGACCACTGGTGATACACACATGGGAAAGACCCAAACGACACTGCAAAGCCTGTAAAAACAACCGACATTGGAACCAAACCCACAGAAGATAGGATGGAACTTTCGGACCAAACCTAACTATGTAGATTGTCTGCTAAAACAAATATATCAACATTCTTTATAGGATTTAAGCAAGACCTAGAGTTTCATAATGTAATATTCAAAATATCCAGGATACAATCTAAAATTACTCATCATACCAAGAACAATGAAAGGCTCAATTCAAATGGAAAAAGATGATCAACGGTGCCAAGAGTGAGATGATGCAGATATTAGAAGTACCTGACAAGCACTTTAAACAGCTATTATATAAAAATTATATAAAAAAAATCATGAAAATTCTCCAAACAAATATTAAAGTGGAAAAATATTGGCATGGACATGGAAATTTTAGAACTGAAAAATAAAATAACAACAGCAAAAATAGCCAGATGGACTCAACAGCCAAGAAAACAGAGAAAGGAGCCAGTGAACTTGAAGACCGATCACAGAATAACAGCGAGACAAAAAAATATTGAAAAAGAAAACCCAGAAACTCAGGAACTTGTGGCACAGCAATAAAAAGTCTGATGTTCAAGTCTTTGGAGTCCCAGAGAGAAAAATGTGAGGCAGAAGAAATAATTGCCCAAACTTCCCAAGTTAGGTAAAAAAACAAAAAACAAACAAACAAACAAAACCCCCATAAACTGACAGATTCAAGAAGCAGAGCAAACCCCAAACAGGATAAACCCAAAGAAATACATATCTAGACACCTCATAATCAAATTGCTGAAAGTTAAAGACTAACACAAAATCTTGAAATCAGCAAGAGAAAAATTACTCATTACCTGTAGGAAAGTGATAACTTCAAAGGCTGCAGATTTCTCATCAGAAACCATGAAGGCCAGAAGAAAATGGCACATTTTTCAAGTGCCAAGGGGCTGAAAGAAAAGAACTATCAACCGTGCATTTCATATCTAGTGAAAACAGCCGTCGGGGATGAAGGTGAAATAAAGACATTCTCATACAAAGTAAAACTGAGAGAATGCATAGCCAACAGACCTACTCTAAAAGAACTGATACAGAAAGTTCTTCAGACAATAAGAAGGAGACAGAAAGAAACTTGGAACATCAGGAATGAAGGAAGAACAACAGAAATGGTAAGTATCTTGGTAAAGATAATAGACTATTATTTTCCTCTTGAGTTCAGCAAAACATGCTTGACGGTTGAAAGCAAAAAAATTAACCTTGATGGGGCACCTGGCCGGCTCAGTCAGTAGAGTATGCGACTCTTGACCTCAGGATTATAGGTTTGAGTCCCATGTTGGGTATAGATATTACTTAAAAAGAAAATATTTTTAAAATATAGCCTTGATGAATTTTCAATGGATTTCAGTAGATTTTCAAGGGATAAAGAGAGACATGATACTGAAAAAAGTCAATTCACCAAAAGACATACAATTTTAAAGGTGTATGCACCTAACAACAGAGTTCCAAAATACACAGATCCAAAACTGTCAGAACTGAAGAGAGCAACAGACAAATCCAAAATTATAGTTAGAAACTTTAACAACCCTTCTTCATTAATGGATAAAACTAGAAGACAGCAGCTCAGGAAAGATCTAGAAGAACTGAATACCACCAACAACGAACTGAATCTGACTGACATTTATAAAACACGCCATTCATAAAAGCAGAATGCTGGGACGCCTGGGTGGCTCAGTTGGTTGGACAACTGCCTTCGGCTCAGGTCATGATCCCGGAGTCCTGGGATCGAGTCCCGCATCAGGCTCCCAGCTCCATGGGGAGTCTGCTTCTCCCTCTGACCTTCTCCTCGCTCATGCTCTCTCTCACTGTCTCTCTCTCAAATAAATAAAATCTTTAAAAAAAAATAAAAGCAGAATGCACATTTTTCTCAAATATAAATCTAACAAAATATGTGCAAGACCTATATAATGAGACCTACAAAATGCTGATGAAAAAAGTCTTTGAAGACCTAAATAGTTGGAAAGATGCACTGGATTGGAAGATTCAAAATAGTAAAGATGCCAGTTCTCTTCAAATTGTTCTACAGATTTAAAGCAACTTTGGTTAAAATTGCAGCATGATTTGGGTGCCTGTGGGGCTCAGTCAGTTAAGTGTCTGACTCTTGATTTCTGCTCAGGTCATGATCTCAGGATCGTGAGCTGAAGCCCCATACTGGGCTCTGTGCTGGGTCATGGAGCCTGCTTCAGATTCTCTCCCTCTCCCTCTGCACCCCACCCCTCGGGTTGGCTCATGTGTGCATGCACTGCACACTCTAAAAAAATAATATGATTTTTTAATGTAGATAGAGTTATGCTGACTCTAAAACTTATACGGAAGGCCAGAGGAACTAGAATAGCTAATAAAATTTTTAAAAAGATTTATTTGACTGGCGGAACACAAGTAAGCAGAGTGGCAGGCAGAGGGAGAAGCAGACTTCTGAGCAAGGAGCCTGATGTGGGGCTCAAACCCAGGACCCTGGGATTATGACCTGAGCTGGAGGCAGATGCTTAACCAACTGAGCCACCCAGCCACCCCTAGCCAAGACAGTTTTGGGAAAAGGACAAAATTGGAGAAATCACACTACCCAGTTTTTTTTAAAAAGATTTTATTTATTCATTTGACAGAGAGATCACAAGGAGGCAGAGAGGCAGGCAGAGAGAGAGAGGGAGGAAGCAGGCTCCCTGCTGAGCAGAGAGCCCGATGTGGGGCTCGATCCCAGGACCCTGAGATCATGATCCAAGCCGAAGGCAGAGGCCTTAACCCACTGAGCCACCCAGGCGCCCCTCACACTACCCAGTTTTAAAGCTAATTAATAGTGACAGAAATAAGATCAGTGTTTTCCTGGGGATGAAGGCAGACATACAGAGGGACCAAAGGAAAGGATTACCAAGAGACACAGGGCAAGTCTTGGGGTGGTGGACAGATTATCTTGCTTGTGGTGTTGGTTTCCTTAATGTACATATGTCAAATTTATCAAATTGTACACTTGAAATACGTGTAGGTCAATTATGATTCAATACAGCTATTTTTAAAAAGATTTTATTTGAAAGAGATCGAATGAGCATGAATCAGGGGGAGTGGCAGAGGGAGAGGGACAAGCAGGCTCCCCACTGAGCAGGGAGCCCAATGTAGGGCTTGATCCCAGGACCCTGGGATCATGACCTGAGCTGAAACCAGAGACTTCACTGACTGAGCCACCCAGATGCCCCTCAGTAAAGCTATTTTTTAAAAAGTATTCTAATAAGTGATATATGGCTTCTACATTTATTAGGTGGCAGTTGGAGTCATGGATTTTGCCAGTGTTTAATTCTTATCCTCCAGTAATATTTTAGCTTGCAAAAAATAGCATGTAGGAAGAATAATGTGAAGGTAGGTTAGCACTGCATTATATTTTTTAAGTTTATGATGAAAATAAAAAGGAACATAATCATAGTAAGTCATTACTAAGACATTATTTATTAGTTTTTTGAACCTTCAGGTATAATAAGTATGGAATGCGCAACAGACATGGTCCCCCCATCCCCTTCTAGCAATTTGCAAAGAATCAAGAGGCTGGTTGACATCTGAACAGTTCTCTATATTTCTATAATACCTTTGCAGAAGGCATTTTAGTATGTTACCAAAATGACCTGTAACCCCTTATTAAAATGTTTTATGTTTTAAAAATTGTAAAAAAAAAATTAACCCTATTAATAGTATCATTTCTTTTTAATTTTTTGTAACTAGATTGAAATTTCAGCTCTAGAATTTTCTATGTGTCTTCAAAAGTTCTTCCAGTAGGAAAGAAGGCCTGCCACTCATCCCGCATAGGGATAGGGAGGAATTCCTTTGACCCCCAGGCCAGTTATCTGTTAAAAAAAGAAAAGAGAAAAACTTTGCTAAAAGGTAGTTCACAAGTATTTTTCAAAAGCATTTTTATGATTTATAGTAATATACTTAGCTACCAATTATCCTTATTTTATTTCCTATCTTAAAAAGGAGTTACTTGATTAGGGCAGGTTCAACTCTAAATTATCACACTGATAATTATCCAACTAGCAACCATCTGCCATTAATTTGGATTTTTTAAGCTTTTATTTATTTATTTATCTGACAGAGAGAGAGAGAGAGAGACAGCAAGAGAGAGGGAACACATGCAGGGGGAGTGGGAGAGGGAGAAGCAGGCTTCCCACTGAGCAGGCAGCCCAGTGGGGGGGGTCTGGATCCCAGGACCCTGGGATCATGACCTGAGCCGAAGGCAGATGCTGAACGACTCAGCCACCCAGGCGCCCCAATTAACTTGGATTTACAAGTGAATTTATTTCTACCATCTTCCTATGTCTTTTCTTTTTTCGAAGATTTTATTTGTCGGAGAGCGAGCGAGTGAGCACAAGCAGGGGGAGTGGCAGGGAGAGGGAGAAGCAGGCTTCCTACTCAGCAGGATCGATGTGGGGCTCGATCCTAGGACCCTGGGATCATGACCTGAGCCAAAGGCAGATGCTTAACCGACTGAGCCACTCAGGCGTACTGCAAAGCAGGCTAAACACATTATCTTGGATTTACAGTCTGGGAAATCTAAATAAAATGTTTTTAAAAATCTAGCATGATGAGCTTTATTAAAATATGGGTGGCTTGGTTAAGCATCTGCCTTTGGCTCAGGTCACGATCTCAGGGTCTTGAGATCAAGCCCCGGGTCAGGATTTTCTCTCTCCCCCTCTGCCCTTCCTGCCCAACTTGTATGTGCACATACACACACAAATACGTGCTCTCTCTCTCTCTCTAAAAAATGCTAAATAGAATTATGTTTTAAAAGTATGAAAAAGCACTAATCGGGTCGCCTGGGTGGCTCAGTCAATTGGGTGTCTGCTTTTGGCTCAGGTTATGATCCCTGGGGGGGATCCAGCCCTGCATCAGGCTCCCCGCTCAGTGGGGAGTTTGCTTCTCCTTCTCCCTTTACCCCTCTCACTGCTCATGCTCTCTCTCTCTCTCACTCTCTCGTCGTCTCAAATAAATAAAATAAAAAAAAGAAAAAGCAGTAATCACTCAGTTACATAGCCAAGGATCTCCCACCTCACCCTCAAAATAAAAGAAAGCCAGATCACCTTGAAGATCCCACCAGCTTCAGGCTGCTGCAGAAGACCCTCGGGATCCATTCCGTCCCGGGCACAGGTCACATACATTTCAGAGTAGTCCTTCCCTCCGAAGCAGCACGAGGTTGTTTTAACAACAGGCAACTTCACAGTTTGGAGTCTTTTCCCTAGATCACCAAATATTGTATTGCAAGCCCAGCTCTAGCAAATTTCCAACCTGCACAACCATTCGGGACCCCTTGCAGAAGATCAGCGATATTCAAAAAGCACTGTGGAGGTCATTTAACCAACCCTCCCGGACAATCTGTTTTGGCCAAAAAGACTTACCTCTGCAGGAAAAGAAGTTCTGACTCTAAGTTTGGGGCGCTATCTTGGGCCTTTATTTCCAAAGTTATCCTACTGAGACCTCTGAATGTATCTCTAGATAACGTTATTAGTAATGAAGTTCCTCTAGTCGATAGTGTCTCATTTTTTCTAGACATGGCAGGGATTTTTTTTTTTAATTTTGCTGCAGGCCTACCTGTCTCAGGGTCTAAACGAATCACTCTCCCTCCATTGTAACAGGCCACCCAGAGCTTCCCCTCCGCATCGATACACATCCCATCTGGAATTTGCTCTTCTTTCTCCAGCTTGTAAATACTTCTGCGGTTGGCTAGGGTTAGAAAAACAAACACACACACACACACACACAACAAAACAACAGGCCACTCAACACTGAGCATCAGACCAGGAGCTCTCCAACTGGCTGTAAATCCTCATCACTTTCGCTGATCTGGGGTCTGGCATGCGGGATGGTTCAGAAGAATTCCTAACTCTAAAACCAAAAACGTCCAGGGTGCGTGGGTGGCTCAGTCGCTTCAGCATCTGCCTTTGGATCAGGTCACGATCCCGGGGTTCTGGGATCAAGCCCCGCCTTGGGCTCTCTGCTCCTGCTTCTCCCTCTCCCTCTGTCTGCCACTCCCTGTGCTTGTGCTCTCTCTCTCAGATAAAGAAATAAAATCTTTAAAAAAATAAAAAAAAAATAAAACAAAGATGTCCAGAAACATGAATGGGCACTCCTCAACTAAGAATTTTTTACCACATGGTTTGGGGGTGATTACACTCTCTTTAGTTTGGGTACAGATGTGTTTGTCTAAGCGGGAAAGAAGGAAGTAGAATTCTTTTTTTAAGATTTTATTTATTTATTTGAGAGAGAGAGCGAGAGAGCGAGCACAAGCAGGGGGAGCAGCAGGCAGAGGGAGAGGGCGAAGCAGGCTCCCCACTGAGCAGGGAGCCCGACGCAGGGTTGGATCCCAGGACCCTGGGATCATGACCTGAGCTGAAGGCAGACGCTTAACTACTGAGCCACCCAGGCGCCCCTAGAATTCTTAATAAAATAACAGTAGTTCTTTTTTGAGGTTGAGCTGAACTGAAACCCTGCACACCCCGCTCGGAGACATTTCGGTCTGTGGTTAGACCTTTGCTGTTTTCCTTATAAAAATGCCGACTTTGATTAACTCCAAGATCTAGAAGGCCACTTAATAGTACCATGTGAACAGTTCCTACGCAAAAACTAGTAAGACATGCGCGTTCTGTTTCTGTCGGACCGAATGTTCCAAAATCATCCTATCAAAACATAGTATTAAAGAGCTTATTTCTGAAAGGAGGGGTGTTCTGGAGCCCACTGGCTGGCCCGAAACGGGGGAATCACAGTATACAAATAAACAAACCCAAAAAACTCCATCAAACCCCAGAGGAACTTTACAAAATCCAGGTCATTGTAGTAACTGCATCGAGGTATAGTGAAAAAAAAATGTTAAAACCATGTGTCAGTAAAAATGGGTAAAAACAGTCATAAAAAAGGCACTCTGTATTTCAAAGCAAAACATCTGTACTGAAATAACCTGTCTCTCATTAAATCTACACGCGAGGCTTGTGGTTCCCCCCCCCCCCCCGAAGTAATTTTTATTACTGTGTTTGCTCTGGCGGTTTGGCACCTTTCACGGAACAGTTTCAAGTGCTCCCTCCTAAATTCTTCTCAAGAATTTCCTCCCTCCCAGTTTCCAACTACAGCTCATGTCGAACCCACTGACAGAATTGAACACTCGGCAGTTACTGTTTAAAATCTTCTATTTGGGAAGATTATTAATTCGTCTCTGAGTAGTTCCCTCTGGTTAACTCAAGGACACAGGAGCAATTGCAACCCCCCAACCTTAGCTTTCCGTTCCTTTTTCTCATTCTGCTGTGCATTATCTGCCGATAGGCGCCTCTAGTAGGACAGGATCCATTGCATGGCGAGTCCCTTTTGAGGGACGGTGGCAAGAAGCATGGGAAGGATCTATCCCTATTTTGCCAGTGGTGGCCAGAGTCAGGTGTGCCGAGGGCGCTGGTTTGATTGGCAGCCTAGTCGAGTCTGGACAATTATGACTCTATTGGAATTATCACATCCGCCACCTCCTTCATTTGACAAGTAAGGGCCTTTCCATGCGAGTCGAGGAGGAAGAGGCAGCTTCCCAGCTAACCACATATGAAAAAAAATCCCAGCAGTAATAAGAAGAATAACGAAAAAGTACGTACAGATCTTTCCTGTCTGTAGGTCATAGTCAAAGGCATCCACCGAGTAGGACAGGCTGTCGATGTAATAGAAGATTTTGTGGTCCAGGGACCAATCCAAACCATTGGAGATGTCCACCTGGTCAAAATACTTTTCCACGTGGTGGTCAGGAAAGAGGGAGTACAGGGACCCCTGGTGCCGCTCCAGAACCGCGGGGGCTATCTCCTCAGCCATGGTGCCTACAATACCCCAAAAGCACTGAGTTTAGCTGCACAGCACCTTGTCCCATGCCCTATAGCACCTTTTATGACCAGGGTTCCTTTCCCATCATGAAGTCAAGGAAACTAGGGACAATTGGGTGGCTCAGTTGGTTAAGCATCTGCCTTTGGCTCAGGTCATGATCCTAGTATCCTGGTCACATCGCCTCCCTGCTCAGCAGGGAGCCCGTTTCTCCCTCTGCCCCTCCCCCCTGCTTGTTCTCTCTCCCTCTCATTCTCTCTCTCTGTCAAAATAAATACATAAAATATTTAAAAAAAATAAAAACTACTCTATTCAAGGAAACTATTCTGCAATCCCAATCTGGGTCCTATATATATATATACATATACATATATATATATATATATATATATATATATATATATAAAGACAACTGCCTTGCTTATGATGCCAATGAAAATTACACCAACAGGTCTGGTTCCGGATAAGGAGTCCATTTCCACCAACCCCACTTTCTCCCACTGAGCGCAACTGTACAAACTGGACAAAACACCCAGTGGGCTATTTGAGAAACTCCGACAAGTAAAAATATCGGGCAGCTCAGGGAAGACCAGCGGAATTTGCAGTGCCGCCTAACTGGTGGCGAGTTCTCCATTTTATCCTCCAGTATGTCCCAGCTTGACCTCAATGCAACCTCCAACTTGGAAGCGAGCACCGTGGTGAAGACAGAGAGCCAAGAGAAACCCTCTCGATCTGGCTCAAGGAGCAAATGAGGAAACTTCTGAGGCTCGGAGAGTGGAAGAAATGCCCTGGTTCTTTTCCACTCCTTTCTCCAGTCCGCACGCTCTGCAGCAAGGGTAGTGATGGCAGAGTGGCGGGTACAAGGAAAGTGCAGGAATCAAGACTCAGGGGAAGGGGATATTGCTCTCCTACTGGAGCTCCAAAAGGGCAGAACCAAACACTGCTGCTTTTATGCTCTCTCTCTCTCTCTGTCCTGCTGCTACTTGGTTCTGGAGAGAGCACTGTCCTAGAGATGGGTGGGTTCCGGCTGGAGGAATGACAAGGACAGCTCCAGGAAAATAGAAAGTACCTAGAGACAGTCAAGAGGGACGTTGTTCAGGAATGCAATTCCATAAGGTTGTTTATGATCTCCTGGGCTCATCTTTTACTCGTATGCGCAGGACTCTGGTTTTAATTAGCATACCAAAGACTGAGAATGCAGCTGTGGTTGGAACTCCTAAGTCTCAGGGCGGCCACTGAGTGGCCCACATGGGGGCCAGATCTTAATGGCAGCTCAGAGAGAGCAGGCTAGAACTTTTCTGGTAAACCTTCTGAACCTGAGCATATACAGATCGCTCATGAGGACAAATGTATCAACATTCTCCACAGGATTTAAAGACCCAGGGTCTCAAAATAATAGTCACAAAGTCACAAATACTATCCAATATGACTTGGCAATGCAAAGAAGTCAAAACACAATAAAGGGCCAAATAAAAATTTTAGAACTGAAAAAGAAAATAACCGAAATAGAAAAACCACCTGGATGGATTTTGCTAGCAGGCTAGAGATGACAAAGGAGAAGAGTTAGTGTAGTGGATGACAGGTCAATAGAGATTATCCAGGGGCGCTTGGCTGGCTCAGTGAGTAGAGCACGTGATTCTTGATCTTGCGGTTGTGAGTTTGAGCCCCATGTTGGGCCTAGAGATTACTTTAAAAAAACCTAAAATCTTAAAATATATAAAAAAGGAAATGATCCAATGTGGACAACATTGCAGAAAACTATGGATTCAAGCCGAGCAAGCCCCAAACAGGAGATAATCCCAAAGAAATCTCCACCCAGACACATCAAAATCAAAATTCTGAAACCAAAGTCAAATAGAAATCCCTAAGAAAGAAAGAAAAATGACATATGACATATAGAAGAATAATGGTTTCAGTAACTGTTGATATTTTACGAGGAGCCACGGAGGTCAGAAGGAAGTGATGCGTTTTTTCTTTTTCTTAAGTAGGTTCCTTGCCGAGCGCAGGGCCCAGCAGGGGGCTTCGAACTCATGACCCTGAGATCAAGACCTGAGCTGAGATCAAGAGTCAAGACACGTAATGGACTGAGCCACCCAGACACCCTGGAAGGCACACATTTTTCATTTGCCGAAAGAGGAAAAAAACAACTGTCAGACTAGTATTCTATATTCAGTGAAAATATCTTTCAAGAATGAAGGTGAAATAAAGATATTCTCATATGAAGTAAAACTGGGAGAATTCACAGCCAGCAGACCTGCTCTAACAGAATTGCTAAAGGGAAGGGAAATGATACCAAAAGGAAGCTTGGAACACTGGAATAAAGGAAGAACAACAGAAACAGTAAATATAATAGGGTGTTCTTCTCCTTTAAGTTCTTGAAAATATTTCTTTTCTTTTGTTGAAGATTCCATTTTTTTAAGATTTTTTATTTTTAAGTAATCTCTATACCCAACGTGGGGCTTGAACTCACAACCCCAAGATCAAGAGTTGCACACTCCACCAACTGAGCCAGCCAGGCGCCCCAGTTCTTTAAAATATTTCTGATGGTTAAAAGCAAAAATTACATTTTCTCAGGGGATTTATATGTGTGTCTATAAAGGGAACTATAGCATAAAGAAGTGTTCATCAAAGTGGTAAAACTTGGTTCTAGACAGACTACAAAAAGTTAACTGTGTATTTTGCAATCCCTTCAGAAACCCTTAAAAAACTACATAGAGAGATACAGCGAAAGATCACCACGAGTAAATTAAAATCGAATTCTAAAAGAAGGTTCACTCAACCCAAAAGGAGGCAGGAAAGGGGAAACGGGAGGAACAAAAAATAGAAAACAAATAACAAAATGGTAGATCTAAGTCAAAGCATATTAATAATTACACTAAATACACTAAATGTAAAGAACCTAAATACATTAATTAAGTTATTGTTAAGACGAATTTTTTAAAAGCCCAGCTATTTGCTGGTTATAAGAAACTCATTTCAGATATAGGGATATAGATCGTATAAAAGTGAAAGGATGGGAAAAGCTATACCATGCAAATATTGATTAAAATATTAGCTGGAGGGGCTATGTTAACATCAGACAAAATATACTTAGAGCGAAGACAATTATCAGGGATACATAGAGGTCCTACATATCACGAAAATGGTCAATTCACCAAGGAGACATAGCAATCCTAAATTCGTACGTGCTTACCAACAGAGCTTCGAAATACACAAAGCCAAAATCAGAACTGAAAAGAGAAATAGACAAGTCCATAATTACAGCTGGAGATGTCAGTATCCTTCTCTCAGTAACAGATACAAGTATATAGAAAAATCAGCAAAGAAACAAAACTGAACAGCCTCAACCAATCTAAGTGACATTTACCAAACACTCCACTCAACAGCGGCAGAGCACACGTTCTTCTCAAGTGCACCATAGGATAGTCCCTTAGACTTGAGTGTGATCTTGGGGGACAGAGCAGAGTTTGACTGTAATGAAGAAATTGGGAAGCTCATCTAGTATACCAAGTTCCATTTGAAATAAGAATGAGTTAAAAGAAAATGGACAGAAGTTGGGAAGCTTGAATAGCAAGCAGGACAGGGTAAATCCTCCCTCCCAGGGGAGAAGGATTTCACGCAGCAGTTTCCTGCTATAGGGAAATTGGGTTTGTTTTACTAATATTCCGTGCCCCCCCCCACCCCGTCTGCCTCACAGAAAGAGATGCCTAGAACATGCATGTGAATTCCGCACTCTTGGAAAGGGTTCTACCTCAGTGGGAAAGAACATGCCGGAGCCCTGGCTTGTATGTCACTATCTAGTAGTGGACACAGTAGTGGATGTGGTGACACCTTCAGGATTCTTCTTCTTCTTAAAAAAGATTTTATTTATTTGACAGAGAAGAGAGACAGCAAGAGAGGATACACAAGCAGGGGGAGTGGGAGAGGGAGAAGCAGGCTCCCTGCTGAGCAGAGAGCCTGGCATGGGACTCGATCTCAGGATCCCGGGATCATGACCTGAGCCAAAGGCAGATGCTTAACCACTGAGCCACCCAGGCGCCTCACCTTCAGGATTTGACCCACCACCTCAAGACTCCATCACTCCATCAAATGACCCTACCCTTTTCTGGTCCAGGGACACCTCCTAGCACTTGCTGAAAGCTAGGAACTCTCTAGAAAAAGGTTCTCAGGTGCTTCTGGCAGATGCTCGTGACCAGTCTGCACACCCACAATTTTCCCTACAATTTTAAGGGGTCCCCTCAGGGCACAAGTTAAGAACTGGGGACTCCAGGCTAAGCACTCAGGCTTCTGAGGACACCTTTATCTTGTCTCACAAAGTGCCACAGAACTGTCAACTACAGCCATGAGGGAGAGAGAAAATCAATTTCAACAGCAGGTGGGATATCCGATCATATTTCCTTATCTTGCAGAAATTAGTTGCAGAAGGGCTTCCAACAGATTCTCATCTTGAATCTTTCAACCTGTCCTGAACTAGATCTGTGGTTGTGTCAAGCCCGGGAAGACGGGAAGCAAGTCATAGCCGGTTGCTCAGACCTTGTGTACCTTCCATGCAGAAAGCGGACGGAGCCACTGCAGCAAGGTTTGAGGGGATGGGGTGGGGAGGTGGACATAGCAGGGATTGGAATCAATTCTGGCTAACTTGTTATGAGGGGAAGTAAATGAAAACATACGTGAAATGCATTATTTAATTGGAAACTAGAGTTAACCCTTACAGAAAGCTGGACGTAAGCCATTCTCCAACCATCACCGTCAGCATTGGTTCAAGCAAGAATCATCAACAAATGTAAAACCCAAAGGAGACGTTTTGATAGGGACCCGGACATTTGGTCAGTCTTAAAGTATCTCCCCCCGTGTTGTGGGGAGCCTCCAAGATGGCCGCAAATGATCCCTGCCTCCCAGTGTTCACACCCTTTGGATACAGTCCCTTCTACCACCGTGTGACCAACAGCACATGACAGAAGCGACATTCTGTCATTTCTGAGATTGGTTATAGTTAAGACTGTAGCCTCTGTCTTGGGTGTCCTCATTCTCTCTCTCTCTCATCACTTGACCTGGGGGAAGCCATGTTCTGAGCAGCCCCACAGAGAGGCCCAGGTGGTAAGACTTCCGGAAGCCTCCTGCCGGCCCCATGTGAGTGAGCTTGGATGTGAATCCTCCAGGCCGCTTCAGAGACACCAGCCCCTTTCTGAGGCTACAACCTCCGCCAAGATCTTGACTGCAACTTCATGATACAGCCTTGAACTAGAACAATCTGGCTAAGCCCCACCCAGATTCTTAACCTTCAGTAACGATGTTTGTAATTTTAACAAACACTTTAAAAATGTTTGTTATTTTAAGCCACTGAATTTCAGGGTAATTTGTTACACAGCAATAGGTAACTAATAAACCCCACGACATGTTCATAAATTGCAATTAAAAATAGTTAACTATGGGGGTGCCTGGGTGGCTCAGTCGGTTAAGTCTTTGACTCTTGCTTTCACCTCAGGTCGTGATCTCAGGGTCCTACGATCAAGCCCTGCCTGGGGCTTGCGCTCAGGGCGGACCTCCTCTGCCCCTCTGCTCCCCCCACCCTCTATCTAAAATAAATAAATAAAATCTTTGGAAAAAATAGTAACGATGCAGTAGAGAAAGTGGAGACGACCTTAACTAGGTGATCCAAACTAACAGCACCCATGAGGGAAATGGTGTCCAGGCACGACACCTGGAGAAAGACAGCGTGTCACCTCCACAACATTCTAGCGACAAATGTACAGCATCCATCTAATCACAAGGAAACATCAGACAGACAAACACAAAAAGAAGAGGAACATGAGGGATGTTCTATTAAAAAAAGGGGGGAGTTGTGTGGGACTGTATTCTTCAAACACAGCAGTGTCATAAAAAAAACAAGAAAGTCTATGCTCTGTCCCAGACGAAAGAGGTTTAAAGAGACATGTCAACTAAATGGCAATACGTAATCCTAGAATGGTCCCGCACTGGAGTGGGGAGAATGCTGTAAAGGACAGTATTTGGTTCATGGACAAAACTGGAGTACAGATAGGACATCAGTTAAAACCGTAATAATGCTGAACTTCTTTAAGTTGGTAACTGTACTGTGGTCATTTTTCTTGGGAAGAACAGGTCTTTTTTCTTGGAAAATTCCCATAGAAGTATCTTTCAGGGTTAAGACATGTGATATATGCAACTTACTTCCAAATGATTCTAGAGAAAAGCATGTTTATATACAGAGAGAGCACACAAATAGGACAAAACATTGACGATAGGTGGATCTAGGTAAAGGGCAGATGGGTGTTGTTCATACTATTTTTACTTTTCTTTCCCTGTAAATTTGACATTATTTCCAATTTAAAAATCGCCAGCAACCACGAAACCTCTATTTGAAAGCTCATTTAGGGGCTCCTGGGAAGCTTAGTGGGTTAAGCATCTGCCTTCAGCTCAGGTCATGATCCCAGGGTCCTGGGATCGAGCCCCGCATGGGGCTCTCTGCTCAATGGGGAGCCTGCTTCTCCCTCTCCCTCTGCCTGCTGCTCCCCCTACCTGTGCTGTGTCAAATAAATAAATAGAATCTTTTAAAAAAAGAAAATTTAAAAAGTCTTTAAAGTAACAAAAATTTAAAAATTTAAGAAAATAAAGCTCATTTAAACTACAAAAGTACCATGCACATTTTGGTCTCTGCCAGAGATGGAAACTTTTGAAAGGGATATTCTGAAATTTTTCTCATGGGATTAAAACATTTTTACATTATTTTAAATGTGATTCATTACCTTTAAGCAATGAAATTTTAATAGACTTTATTTATTTCTTTAGTTTTTACATTTCCGTTAAGGAAACGCTACCCCCAGTGTGGGACTTGAACTCACCAACCCAAGATCGTAAGTCACATGCTCTGCTGACTGAGCCAGCCAGGTGCCCCTTGGGATTTTTGTTTTGTTTTGTGAAAAGCTACTCAAGTAATAATAAAGGAAGAACCCAAGACGCATTATGAGTAACATTTTCCCAGGACAACTGCGAGACTTAGCTCAAGTCCGGCTTTTCCCCCCAAGCTCGGTCCATAGGGGCTGGAAATCAACCACACCTGCGAAGTATCTCCCAGCAGGATCCACCTTCCCATCGTTGAACCTATTGTTCCTCTTGTCTTCATCTACTGAGGCCAGGGCAACTGCTGAGTGATCTTCCCAGTTCAAAGCACAGAACTTTGTCCCAACAGTGGCCACATAGCCTCCTCCCTGGCGAAGGGCCACGGAGCTGACGGGGGCATCTGCAGAAGCAAAAGCAGCAGTCAGAGGGCGGGAAGGGGGCCAGTGGCCGCGCAGCACCCCACGGGCACCCCGCCACCTGGCATCTTGCTTGGAGCAGATTCCAGCTCTTTTGACAATGCGAGTGCCCTCTCCCTTCTGTGGAAAGCCGAAGGCTCCAGAACCAAGTGTATTTGTTGATTAGTATACTTGGGCAGCAGAGACAGAAACGTGAATGAAACCCAACTCTTCTGGAAGCTTCCAGCCACCATACACTGGGGCAGGCGCCACATCAAATTCAAAGGTTGGGGTGGGGGTGGGGGTCCTTGACTGGGGTTGGGGGGACAGGAGCTCCCAGGGTAGCTATCATGGACCAAGGGATGCTTGATTCACCTGTTCTCCAGGAAATTCAGAGACACAAACCAGGCTTAGTTCCGCCAACTAGGTTTCCTGACATCTCTCCCTCCCTCTCATTCAGGACTTGTCTTTTTTAAGGGGCCCCATCTTATGTATTAAACTGAAAGTTGTGGGATGCCTGGGTGGCTCAGTTGGTTAAGTGTCTGCCTTCGGCTCAGGTCATGATCCCAGGATTCTGGCACCGAGTCCTACATCAGGCTCTCTGCTCAGCAGAGAGCCTGCTTCTCCCCCAACCCTGACAAATAAATAAATAAATAAATAAATAAATAAAATCTTTCAAAATTAATTTATTTTGAAAACATTTTTTTAAAAAGATTTTATTTATTTATTTAAGAGCGAGCGAGTGGAGGAGGATGAGCAGAGGGAGACTCCCAGGTGAGTGACAAGCCCAGCCTGGGGCTCAATCCCAGGGCTCTGAGATCCTGACCTGAGCAGGTAGCTTAACAGACTGAGCCACCCAGGCACCCCTTGGAAACATTTTCCCCCTCCCCCCTCCTGCCCCGCCCCCCCGCCCCTGGGGCTCTGAACCCCTCTGGTCCTAGTCACTTTGCCTCTAATCACACTCACATCCCTGGGTGAATTAAAAAGTTGTTCCCTCTTATTTAAAAAAAAAAAAAGTTTGAGGTCACCAGCTCTGGAATGAGACTGTCCCAAAGTCACAGGATTTCCTGGTATCTCTTCCCATTAACACGAAACAAGAAGCTTCCTTATCTCTAATCAAGCTCCTACGCTTGGGCCATAGGAGAAACCCTTCCTCTGGGAATCACGTGGCCCTGAACAGAATCACGGTCAAATGCCCTTGGAATTTGTCCTGAATCTCATTTTGTACAGTGAACAGATAGTCCTGCTAGATGCTTTCCAAGTCTGAAAGCTCTTCTTTTTACATTCAAAGAAGGGCTCTGCCTGCTCTTTTTTTCTTTTCTTTTGCCCTTTAAGATCTTGGCCCAACCCAAGGCGGACAGCCTTTGCTGGGGTCCCCAACATTTAAAGCCTAGATCTGAAGATGTTAAGGAAAGAGCCTACCGTGCCTGTGCTTCGTCAGCAGCACCAAATGGGGACTCTTGCCCCCCACCCACAGCCGAAGAGGAAAGTACTGACCACCCAAAATTTATTCCTGGGTCCAAGTGGGAGGACACAGAGTGTGTCTAGAGACAGCATGGCATTCCAGAAGTTTTAAAGCACATCCAGTGGCTTCAATAAGAAGTTCCCTGGGGAATGACACATCAGGTGACCGCGTGTCCCCAGGGAAATGATGGCTGTCTGGGCAAAGCAGGGTGGGGTTTTGGGGGGGGGGGCTTTTTCCTTACCCAGGGTCACTTGCTGCATGCGCTTGCTGAGCGAATCCCACCGGCAAACCTTCTTTGCAGGAATATCTACAAAGAGCAGCGAACTGGACGCCTCCTCCCACACCGGAGACTCCCCACACCGGCAATTCTCCCGCAAAACGCACTCGATCTTAATGGAAGACATCGTCAACAGGGAGCTGTCTGGAAGTAGCAAGAGAGGACAGAAAATGTAATCTCGTGGAGCAAATTCAGCAAAACACAACTGGCTTAAGGCCCTGGGAAGATCCCAATACAGACCGAGTTTTTCTCAGAACTGGAAAAACACGTTCTCTCAATCAGGACAAAATAGGCACGGTGGCAGAAAGAGACTTGTAGGACAGTGAAGAGCGAGCTGATAGTCCATAATGTGAAATATCTTCTGATCCACTTACCCAGGCGTATTTTCAAGCTATCTTTTAAAAAGAGAGGAAAAATCCCACAACACCCCAGCATCCATACCTTGATTGCCGGTGACCCTCAGAGAGCTCGCTGCTCGCGGGAGGGAAGGCCGCCCTTTATGCCTGTGCCCTAGCCCCCGAAGGTGCAGGTGCCTGTGGGGGTGGGCGGGCAGTTCCCTCATTGGTGGCCCCTCCCCGCCTGCAGGTCACCAGCTCCCGCTGCCCTCCCCCATCCCCTGAGGGTGCCGATTCCCTCCCCCTCAGCCCGCTCAAAAGCCAGAACTTTCCTACTCTGAATTTTTCTAAAGTGCCTTTCTAGAAATATGGTCATCAGGGATATACACTAAATTAGACCTAACACCCATTTGTCAGCTTGGCACAATGGAAGGGCTGGAGAAGAGGACCCGGTCTGGGTGCCACTGGAGGTACTGACGGCCCCTTGGCTAGTTCTTGCCGCCCAGGGCAGGCACCTTGCCAGTTTGGCAAGGAGACTTGAACTCCACAGGCAGGAACATTCTATGCTGGGAGTTTAGGCCAGAGTGTGACCAGCGAGCAGGGAGAAGAGAAAGAAAAATGATCAGAGAAGGAAAAAACAAAACAAAACAAAACAAAACATTACCTAAGAAACCCCGTGGGAGAGGAAAACGAGGCAACTTTTCAGGGTCTCCTCTCTTTCCCAAACTCTGCCCAGATGCTGCCCCAAATCGTCGGCCTCATCACCCTTCTCCCTTTCTCCTTGGGAGTGGGTGGGCTCACCCACGGATGGGCGAATTCATGACGGGGGGGCGGGGAGGGGGAGGAAAATAATCTCTGGTTTTATATTCCTTTCGAGAAATTAATTTTTTTTTTTTTTTTTTTTTTTTAAGAAACACAACTCAAATCTTAAATCGCGATGCCAGGATTTGGAAGCCTCGCTGGCTGTTAACAATTTGGCACAGGCTCCAAAGGCCTTCATGTTATCGATCTGCGATAAGGCACAGGATCAGATGAGAAGCGGGACTTATCCCAATAGCGACTTTTAACCCGAGCCAGGGGCCCGCCCTGCAGTCGTCCCTCCCTGCTGCGGCTTCAGAGCCCGGCGGCAGGGCAGCGGGGCGCCGGCACACGGCGGCAGGTGCCCGCGCAGCACCCGCGGTACCTGTGCGGCGGGGTGGCCTCGGCACAGTTGGGTGGCCCCGCTGCAGCCTCGGGCGACTGCGAGGCCCCGGGAAGCTGAAGGTTGAGCCCGCCTCGTTCCTGGCCCGGCCGAGTTGAGCGCGAGCGGGGCCCGGGTCCTCGGGTGGGCAAGGCGGGTAGGGGGCGAGCGGTGTCCTTCCAGCCCGCCCCAGCGACTTTCGATCGTCTGTAGCCAGACCTTTCCTCTCTGGAGAGCGGGCGGAGAGGCCGGTCGGTCCCCGGCACTCACCGGGCGGGTGACTTCCAGGAGGCGCAAAGGTCAGGCAGCGGAGCGGAAGGGCTGGGCAGGGGACGAGGCCGCTGGGCAGGTGGGTGGCAGCGGCCTGGAGCGGCGGGCTGGGGACTGCAACCCCCAACGCTGTCCCTCTCCTCCGTGGCTCCCGGAAGAATCCTACAAAGCCTCCCGGGACAGGGGGGCGGGGAAGAGGCTTGGAGCCCGGTGAATCTAAGCCTTGGAGTTTGGACGGAGCGCTAAAGTTTATCTCTTACTTAAACAAGAAAAAAATTGTTAAAATGCCTAACAGAGATTGGGGTCGAGGGTCCGGTTAAACACAAGCAGGTCAAAAAGTAAAGAACAAAGCGGTTAAATAAATCCACCCTTTTCCTAGCGGGAGAAAGAAAGACTGCTGGCTGGAGGCCAGCTTTTGTAAAGCGTTTTTTTGTTTGTTTCTTTTTTTGTTGCGTGTGTGTGTGTGTGTGTGTGTGTGTGTGTGTGTGTGTGTTTTGTTTGTTTGTTTGTTTGCTTGCTTGTTTTTGGTGGGGGAAGAGGAAAGGTTTTATTTGATTGGGTTTAAAAAATCAAATGGAATAAATGATCCTAAGCTTTCTTTGAAAGTGGACCTCACCATCCAAATTTAAAACATTTCAAAAAATGAAGGGAGGGAGGTAAACAGGAAGGCGTTTGCTGCTGGGGGTTGGGAGCCGGGGGGTAACCACGAAGGGGTTCAGGCAATTTTCTGGGGGTGATGGAGGCTATCTGGATGGACACCTGAGTTGCACAAAAGTATGTACTGTCCAAAGTCATCTGGTGGGACACTTGAGATTTGTGCATTTTTTTTGTATGCGTTGAATCCAAGGTCAGTGCTACCTCATCATCATTACCATTTTAATTTTTTACATAGGCTCTATGCCCAGCGTGGGTCTCAGACTCATGACCCTGAGATCAAGAGTTGCCCGCGTTATCGACTGAGTCAGCCAGGGCCCTCGTGCTATCTCATTATTGATCTCTCTCTATGGAGCACGCATTCCTGGCCTTCTGCACAATCCTGAAACCTACACTCAAATCACAATCACTGGCATTCCAGCTCCCTGAAATTCACTAAGGAGGAGGGGCCGCAGATTAAATGCTTCAAAGGCAGGAGGTTCTAAAGCAGGCGGGAGATGTTTGGAGCAATCTCAGCTCAAAGTTTCAGCTTAGTTAACTTAGGGTAACGGGCACTCATGGCCTCAGTCATTTTGCTTTCACCCTGGGAGATGTTTAAGACAACTGCTCTCCCATGGCCCCATTTACAGATGGGAAAACATGAGCCTGCAAAGTGAGGAGACTCCCAAAGTCGCTGGTCAAGCTGGGAGAAATCTGGCAAATAGACCAAACTTTCAGTAGAGAAGTAAGAGCTTGGGGGGCTCCTGGGTGGTGCACTTGGCTGAGTTTTGACTCTTGGTTTCAGCTCAGGTCATGATATCTGCGTCCTGGGATTGAGCCTCTTGGCAGGTTCCCCACTCAGTGTGGAGTCTGCTTCTCCCTCTTCTCTGCCCCTCCCAGACCCCACTTGCGCTTTCTCTCTCTCTCTCTTTAAAATAAAATAAAACAAAATAAAGAAATCAGAACTTGAAGGACACTTTCTTGGGTGGGGCAAAGAGCGGGACTGCGATCTCTGGAGGCTTCTCTGGGGTTCTGTTGGGTCCTCTTCCCATCGCGTGGCTTCTTTTGCCTCCTTAATGCTGACAACCCCCCAAACTGTATCTTGTCCCAGGCCTCTCCCCCAAACTATAGCCCTGTATTTCAGATGCTCTAGTCAACCACACCACCGAGCTGTCCCAGAGAGATCACTTTATTCTCCACAAACCTGGAGAGCGAGACCATGGTCCCACCAAAAGACTGCATAAGAAGTCCCCATTGCTTGCCCAGATTGTTGTCAGCTCCCTGGAGGGCTTGTCTCCCCCCCTTTGGATCTGCTGCCAAAATGCCCCCCTACATGGTGAGTCCCACAGGGCAGGGATGCCTCTCATTCCCTCACTCATGGTGCTGACACATAGAGGCTATTCAACGACATGCTCTTTTTCTTTTCTTTTCTTTTTTTTGGGTGGCTCAGTCGTTGGGCGTCTGCCTTTGTCTCAGGTCATGATCCCAGGGTCCTGGGATTGAGCCCCTCATCAGGCGCCCTCTTCAGCGGAAAGCCTGCTTCTCCCTCTCACACTCCCCTTGCTTGTGTTCCCTCCCTCGATATCTCTGTGTGTGAAATGGGTTAATAAAATCTTTTTAAAAAATCCTATAAAGGATTCCTGATTACCCTTTACCTAGATTCCTCCAATGTTAACAGTCTAGTGTTGCTCTGTCTCTCTCACTTACATAGAAATGGAAATATATTTTTTCCTTGATTTTTATTTGCTTCTTTCTTTCTTTCTTTCTTTTTAAAGTAATTGCTACACCCGGCATGGGGCTCAAACTCACAGCCCTGACATCAAGACATCAAGCTTCACACGCCCTACCAGCTGAGCCAGCCAGGCACTCCAATATATTTATTTTTCTTGAATGGTTTGAGAGTAAGGTGCAGATGTGATGCTCTGTTACATCTGAAGACTTTGGTATGCGTGTCCTGGAAAAAAAAAAAAAAAAGGACATTCTCTTCTATAACCACAGCACAATTATCAAGATCGGCGGGTTAACACGGATACAATATTACCTAGCTGAATTTCATTGATCGTCCCACGGATGTCCCTTCTAACAAAAGGAAAAAAAAAGGATTCCGTTCCTGAATCCAGTCCAGGGTAAAGCTTTGTGGTTAGCTGTGCTTATTCTCCTTTTAATCTGGAACAGCTCCTCAGCGTTTGTGCCGTGACATTGACATTTTGGGAGTTCAAAATGTAGAATGCTCCTTCATTTGGGATTACTTGTTTTTTTCCTCATGGTTAATTCCGGTTATGCCTTTTTGGCAATACTGCAAAAGTGAAGCTGTATCCTCTGTAGCATCTGGAGGAAAATGATGTCAATTTCTTCAATGTGGTCACAGTATGTGCTTATTGAATCTTGATAAAATATAACTTAATCATACCCAAGAGCCTATAAATCCCCTCGGACTTGCTAGTAGTACTTTCTTGACTTCAGTGATGGTCTAGCCATGTCCTCTTTCTGCTTCTTGTGTCTGAACTTGCTACTCCTTCTGCCTGGAACACTTTATTCCTCCCACTAACCCAATCCCTACCTCTGCACTGGGCTCACTCCTACTGAAGCCCAGTATCCTGTCCACCAGAAAGCCTTCACTGATCCCTCTAGCTCTCACCTGTCACCCTAACAGCGTCCTGTCTTTATGTTTTATTACGATATTCACCACATTGGCTGAGAACTGTTGGTCTGTCTGTCTCTCCT